TATTGAGAACATTTTAGAAGACTACTGTGTTACACAACACTGTTACCTAAGAGGAAAATAAATTGGCATGTAGTTATGCAAACTCAGTAATCATTTTTAGGGTAAATAATGATATCACACCATATTAACACATTTATTAATGATGATCATAAAGCAATACTTCCACAAAAATAATCACCACAAACTCAGAGTGAAGTGACTATAAGGTGATTTACTAACAGATGTTCGATAAGGATCAAATAAATACAAGAAATTGTAAAATTTAACATTGTGAGCATCCAAATGTTAGAATAAACTTCATTTTCCTTTCACATTTTATTTTGAAAGTTTTGAAATCAACAGAAAAGATGCAAAAATAATATAACATCCATAGACTCCTTGTCTGGATTTCTCAATGCTAACCTGTTGCTATATTTGATTTTCTTATGGTGTGTATGTGTTTATCTGTGTGTGTTGAACCATTTAACAATTACTTGCAGTTATTTATTACTTATTATTTAACAATTATTTGCAGTTCATCCCTAAATACCAAAGTGTATATCTCCTAAGGAAAAATGATATTTTCCTATATAACAATAATACAATGATCTCATTGAGGAAACAACATACAATGTAATATAGAGTTCATTTTCAAATTTTCCCAATTATGCCAACAATGTCGTTTGTATCTTTTGCTTCTTTTCTTTTCTTTTCTTTCTTTTTTTGAGACAGAGTCTCATTCTGTTGCCCAGGCTGGAATGCAATGGTGCAACCTCGGCTCTCTGCAACTTCCACCTCCTGGGTTCAAGTGATTTTCCTGCCTCAGCCTCTCGAGTGGCTGGTTTTACAGGCACACACCACCACGCCTGGCTAATATTTCTATTTTTAGTAGAGACGGACTTTTGCCATGTTGCCCAGGCTGGTCTCGAACTCCTGATCTCAAGTGATACGCCCACATCGGCCTCCCAAAGTGCTGAGATTGTAGGCATGAACCACTGTGCGCAGCCTCTTTTTATTTTATTTTATTTTTTAAGTTTTCCTAAGAGTCAATCACTAAATACACACTGCAATTAGTTGCCTCTTTAGTCTCCTTTATCCTGAGACAGTTTCCCAGCCTCTTTTGTTTTTCATAACATTGGCATATTTGAAGGCCCAGACCAGTTGTTTTCCAGAATAACAAGTTGGATATTTTAGATGATCAGATAAAGTTTATGTATTCTGAACAAGAGTGCTGTACAGATAAAAGTGTGCCTCTCCTGGCATATCCCAGCAGGGGCAACTGATATCAGTTTCTCACCTCCTACTTCCCTTCTATGTCCCCATAGGCAAACTATGGTATTACCCATCTCCTGAACCCATCAGGGGCTTTATTTCCCCTGGCCTCTGATGACACAGCCTTCCCTTTAGAAAAATCTCTTTCTACTTTTTCTCTAACTTTTCAACGCTTCCATTTGTTCACTGCTCAATTCAAATATCTCCCCTTACCATAAAATATTCTATACTATGAATAGTATTCTATGAATACTATTCAAATTGTTATTCTGGAAAACTGATCTGGGCCTTCAAACATGCCAATGTCATATGTTTTGTCATCCTGCTAGCCTCATGCCTGCTGGCCTATTCATAGCATAGATATTTTATGGTAAGGGGTGATATTTGAATTGATACTATACTCTCTCAAGCTGTATCATAGCTCCCTCTTCAAACGTCTTTTAGTTTTTTAAATACACTATTATGGACTGAGTTAGGTCCCCTCAAAATTCACATGTTGAAGTTATAAAACTCAGAATATGACTGCGTTTAGAAATAGAGTCTTTAAAGCGATTATTAAATTAAAAATAAATAAGCAAAGTGGGCCCTAATATGACTAATGTCTAATCAGAAGAGAAAATTAGGGCATAAACATATATAGAGGGAGGACCATGTGAATACACAAGGTGAAGACAAGGAGAGAGGAATCTTGAGAAATCAGCCTTGCTAACACCTTCATCTGAGGCTTCTAGCCTCCAGAATCGTGAGAAAATAAATTTCTATTGTGTAAGCCACCCAGTCTGTGGTATACTTTGTTACGGCAGCCCTAGCAAGCAAACACACACACTCAGAGCTTTAACCTAATGCATGACTTGGTAGTTACACTTGTATTGATACTAATGTTATAATTACCATATGCCATGTGATCCTGCTGGCCTGCCATCCCACTGAGAGCAGCAACTATGGACCTAGAATTCCCCACATCTGGGTTTCATTTCCCACAGAGCTCATCAGGATCTTGTGCACTCAGGAAACAATAATTTGATGGTCCTTGATGGATGACTAAATTTCAATTACCTTAGGAAAAAAATCAATGCTATAATTAATTGCTCCATTGTTTATAAGAATTCATCCATGACACATGTTTTCAATTTACCCCTTACCCTCTGAGTGTCATATAACTCTCCAGAGATTGTCTCTACCTCTCTATGAAACTACTTCTTAAAATTTTTAATTCTTAAGGAAATTTTTAGAATTTAAGAAAGAAAGAAAAAAATCGTTTACTAAGTGCCTACTCTTTCTTCAAAACAGTTTTCTCTATTTTCTAAAAATATGTCAAATTGACTTAAAATAATCATAATAAAAATGACAAAAATTAAGCCGATAAAGAATATCTTGTTATTTCAAGTAATTGTAGTATTTATTTGTATTACTTTGTACATAAATTTCCAGAGAAATCAAGGCTTTATAGCTGCACTCTGTTTGCACTGATACTTACCTCTGCTTTTCGTGTAGGAGACATTTTCCAATGGTAAACGCCGCTTTGTATCTTCAGGCTCACTAATCCCCAGCATCAGTGTACCTCATCACAGATGAGAAAATGCAGAAGGTTCCTGCCTGGGGCCTTGCTGTCATGGTTTCTTGTTGCTAGCAACACACAGAAGCATGGCCAGCTGCTGCTGCTGCTGCTGCTGCTGCTGCTCCTGTTAGTCTGCTAACTAAATATGGGTGAATTTTTCTATGAGTCAGTATTTCTATACTGTCAATAACAATGTGTGTGTGTTTTTAAATTAAGGCCTGATTGTTAAGTCACAAAGGATTGACTGAATCCAATTCTAACATAAATAATCCTCAAAATTTGGCTTATGGTGTGCCATAGATGTCCAGCTAAACTGAATATAATACTCAGGCATGAATTATGTTAAGAAAATTACCGCTGATCGAAGCTATCATTTGTAGATTAACTCACACTTAACAAAAAGTTATGTTCCTTTGATATCCTTTCAGGCTTAGTCCAGATTTGGTGGGAGTAGGTAGAGGGATGTTCTGTGGTCTTGTAAAATTGGGAAGCATTAAGAAATACAAAATTAAACATATTCCAATAATATATAAATTTTTAGAGACTAACCAATGTCAATTTGTATCATGAGTCTCCTAAAAGGGAATAGAGAATTTTCTAACTCTAACACTCATTTGGAGTAACTTATCGCAACTACAGAAAATATGGTTTAAGACACATAGGAGTTCCATATGTAATTTGAGAGGCAGTATCATATGATGTAGAGTTGGAGGCAGAAGACCTGAATTCTTCTCTTACCTCTGTCAAGAATTAGCTGTGTGAACTTGGCAAGGCCTGGGGAAAGGCATTTTTATCCCATGTCTCATTTTTAAATTTGTAAAATCGGCCGGGCGCAGTGGCTCACGCCTGTAATTCCAGCACTTTGGGAGGCCGAGGTGGGTGGATCACGAGGTCAAGAGATCGAGACCATCCTGGCTAACACGGTGAAACCCTGTCTCTACTAAAAATACAAAATATTAGCCGGGCATGGTAGCCAGTGCCTGTTAATCCCAGCCACTGGGAGGCTGAGGCAGGAGAATGGCATGAACCCAGGAGGTGGAGCTTGCAGTGAGCCCAGATCGCACCACTGCCTGGGCAACAGGGCGAGACTCTGTCTCAAAAATAAATAAATAAATAAATAAAAATAAATAAATTTGTAAAATGGAGATAAACTTATAAGGCCATTGTGGAAATTAAATTAATAAAAGTGAAATTTATTAATAGTGAAATTACTGTGTAAAACGAAAATCACTATATGAATATGAGTTGATATTCCATTTATAAGATGCCACTTACATTTCCTTCAGGATTTATACTACTTGCTGTCTCTAATTAGAAGTTGTCCTACACTCTGGCTCCAAAATACTGCAAAATGAAACAATCTTCTATCTGATATAGTTGTCTAATTAATTACAAGTCCAGGTCAAGCAGAATAAGAAAATGTTTGAAAGTCTTTCTAAATTTTGAATTTAAAGAAATACTTTCAAATAAAGACTACAAATATAAATTTTGTAGTCTTTATTTTGAAACCATAGAATGATAAAATAAAAATTATTAGGATAGTTACTTATGGCAAAAGACACAGGGACAGGAAATGGATGTCTCTGAATATATGTGTGTGTATATACATATATACATACACACGTATACATATATGTGTACATATGTACATGTACACACACACTTTGGAACCATGAAAATGCTTTATGCTCTATGTAATCAAAAACCGTGATTATTTCAAAAATAAAAGCTAAGCAGTTGTTTAAAAATTTTTGAAGCAAAGGGATCTAATTGCATATCAAATTGTTGACAAAACCACACACAGAAAAATTATTTCGAGTGACTTTAAAATGCAAGGTTTTTTTTTTTTACTATCTGTCACTAGTGAGATATATCCCAAGGATAAAAATCTCCACAAAGAAATCACAAGCTTTACTCAGTAGCATTATTATTAATGAAAATAGTATTTGTATTGTTATTTTGAAATTACTATATGTATATGGCATAAGATAAATAAGTATGTACATGTAATTAGGAACCAAGAGCTTCAATATAAGAAAATTTGGGGAGAAAAGGTATAAAATCAAAATAATAGAGGTATAGAATTACCAAGGTAGAACACCATAAATTAAGACATGTAATTATATATTTAAATATAAATATCAACATAAACACATGATTTTCCCTTTTTTCTAAAATATACATACCTTGAACTTATTTTTAAAATACATAACTTGAATTTATTTTTTTAGATACATATCACATAAATATCTCTTCACTGAAAAGCTACAGAAGCAGTGACAAACCAGTAGTAACGACCACCTGTGGGGCCCAGATTCTGGTCTCTAAACTTTAATTCTGTCCTAAGAGAACTGATGTTTCCAGGACTGGCTGGACAATATGTTGAATAAGTCTGGAACATCTTGTTGTGCTGAAAAGCAAGAAAGCAATCAAGGATTACAGGGAACATGTCAAAGAGACAGAGAAACCAATTAGAGCAGCTCCCACTGGCGAAAGTGTGGAACAGTTTGAGCAACAATAAAAATGACTGGAAAGGTCATATATATCCATAAGTTAGTAATTATACAAAAACAAAACACACACACACATACACACTCATTGGTCACCTTTGGTAATTACTAGAAAATTTCTAAATATTGATATTAAAAAGAGAAAGCATTATGGATTGTTTGTTCTGTCTTTCCTGTGTGTAGCATATTTCATGCTGTTTTTCCAAGGTAATTCTTCAGTATAAAATCCCATTGTCTCAACTGAAGATGACTCAGAAGTCTACCAGAGCACCAAACTCTCTGTGGGATCAGCTGAAGCCATTGCTGAAATTGTATCACAGGTCAGTTCCTCCCTCTGCCCACTCCTGTTTCCAAGAGTACTCCCTAGTCAGTTTCCTGGATGCTAACCTCCATTACAGTTTGCTTCCCAAGAAATCTAACCTGTTGCAGGCAGTTATTGTCACGTGTGGTTCAAGAAAGCAAAACCTAAGATAGGGTTTTAGAGTTGAATTAACCTGTTCCAGAGCTGGCAATGAGGACCCCACCGCTGATGGCAGGTGGAGCACAAATAGCCTCTGGTACAAGATAGCAATGCAAATGGTATTTTCACTAGGTTGGTGCACTGCTGAAGAGAAATGCATTAGCTAGTGCAGTGTGTCAGAAACTGTAAACATGGAGGAGTAGTAACTACAAGGAGACTTGAGTGAGCTCAAGTAACACTCTGGGAAGAAATAACTAAGAGTGATTAATTTACAAATAAAAGTTAAATGTAAAAAGTCATAGGTCACCTTGGTGAGAGAGAGAGACTGGAGGAAGGGGAGTCATGTCTTTTCTCCTACAGTGGGAAAGCAGACTGTACAGAAAAAGCTGATGATGAGGTCTATAAAAGTAGCAAAACCCCAAAAGAGGCTAAACTTCCAACCAAGGCAGATCTGCAACACCAACATCAGGTTTCTGTCTGGGAAAAAGTATGATCTTGACACATGAGGTAGGGAGAGGTGGGGAGAGCTAGATTGGTGTACCTGAATATCTTGAACTCTCTTCCAAAAAATATTGATCCCAAAAGCAAGGCTTACTAAATGCCCTCCACTTATCTCAGTTTCAATGTCTGCCTTTCAGGAAAATCAATCTGAAATAGTAACCAAATACCTAATGAAAGTCTTCTCCATGGAAGAATTCTAGCTAACAAATATAAAAAGATTATAGAGTTAGCAAATCACCATTGGCAAACTGTAATGAAATTATCTAGCCTCTCATCACTATATAACAAGCAACACATTAACCTACTGATCAACCTTAATTAACATCACTAAAAGTGAAACACAATAATATGCCCTCTACATGCCCCTGATGTGATGAAAGATGCTATGTATACCACCACTTATAAAGTGTTTTTTCCAAAGTTGAACCTGAATCTAATCAAGTCTATAAATTGTCAACTTAGAGGAAAAATGGGAGATAGAGATACAACCACCATACCTAGAGTTAGAAAAATAGTAAATTAGTATCTTCAACAAATATATGGCATTATTTTTAAAAGGCATTTAGAGACATATTAACTAAATACAATATGTGGTCTGTGTTTGGATCTTGATTCAAAAAGCTGTAAAAAAGACATGTTTTTAGAGAAATGAAGAAAATAGAACATTGAGCCGGTTATCAGATGATGTGACATTATTTGTAAAATGTTGTTATTTGTGATGAAATACTGCTAAGCTAAGCCTTTTCTATAATTATCTATTAAAGATGTATATTGAAATATTTATAGGTGAAATTATGCAATATCTGTTATGTGGTTTATAATAATCTAGAGAAAACTCATACATAAGATAGGGTATAGATAAATAAGAATGGGAAAATGCTGATAATTGTGGAGCTGGGTGATGGCTAGACAGGAATTCATTATATTGTCAAGTATAGTACATGTTTAAAATGTTCCAAAGTCAGTTTCTAATAATCATTTACATCTTTCATGTTACTCTACATGTAATACCAAATCAAACTGAGTTAAGAATTTATAGGTAATGAAGTTTAAGAAATGTTAGGAATTTTAGGAAAATCTCTTCAGGGCATTAGCCTATGCAAAGAATTTATGACAAAGATCGCAAAAACAAATGCAAGAAAAACAAAAATAGATACATGGGACTTAACTAAACTAAAAAGCTTCTGGATAGCAATAGAAATAACCAATAAAATAAATAGACTACCTATAGAATGGTGGAAAATATTTGCAAATTATGCCCCTGGCAAAGGACTAATATCCAGAATTTACAAAGAACTCAAATAACTGAAGAAAAAAGCAAACCATCCCATTAAAAGCTGGGCAAAGGACATGAACAGACACTTCTCAAAAGAAGAAATACAAATGGCCAACAAACTCATGAAAAACACTAATCACCAGAGAAATGCAAATTAAAAACACATTAAAATATCATCTTACACCAGTCAGAATGGCTTTTATTAAAACATCAAAAACAAAAGATGGTGCAGATGTGGAGAAAAGAGAATGCTTATATACTGTTGGTGGGAATATAAATTAGTTAAACCTCTACAGAAAATAGTACGGAGGCCAGGCTTGGTGGCTTATGCCTATAATCCCAGCACTTTGGGGAGCCAAGATGAGTGGATCACTTGTAATCAGGAGTTCGAGACCAGCCTGGCCAATGTGGTGAAACCCCATCTCTACTGAATATTAAAAAAATAGCCAGGCATGGTGGTACACGCCTGTAATCGCAGTTACTAGGGAGGCTGAAGCAGGAGAATCGCTGGAACCTGGAGGCCAGAGGTTGCAGCAGGCCAAGATCTCACAAGGTTTCAAACTCCTGGTCTCAAGTGATCCTCCCATCTTGGCCTCCCAAAGTTTTGGGATTACAGGCATCAACCACCACACCCAGTCTTGTAGTTTAAATATACATATATAAAAAGTGAAAGCTTAAAGGAAAAAATATATATGTGCTAAGCAAAAGGTAAGCACATGAAATTCAGTGTGGCTCTATTAATATCAGATAAGAAATGCAATCAAGGAAGGAGATAGATATTAAAAGAGACATTTGGTAATACTAAAAGGGACCATGCATCATGAAGACTTAACAATCATAAATGTATATGGATCTAATGATAGAATTCAAAATACGTGAAACAAAAACCATGGAAATAGAGGCACTAATAGACCAACAACTATAGTTGGGATTATAAATCTTTTTGCACATAAAAGAACAAGTAGAGTTTTAAAAATAAGTATGAACATAGTCTAAACCATACTCTCAACCAACTTGATTTAACTGACATTTATAAAACACTTTCTTTTCAATTGCAAATGGAACTTTCATCAAGAGAGACCATATGAAACACTGTAAAATAAATTTCAATAAACCCTAAAAACATAAAGGACTTATAGAATCTTTTATGAGCACAATGGAATTAAACTGTAAATCAATAACAGTAAGGCTAGAAAAGCCTCCAAATATTTAAGAGTGAAACAACAATCCTATAACAGAGATTATAAATAAATCATGTGGAAATTAGAAAATATTTTAGACCTGATAATAAAAAATATAATATGTTGAAATTTATGGGATTCAGCTAAACACGTACTTAGGAGAAATGTTTAGCTTTAAATGGATACCAGAATTTTTTACAGATTTAAAATGAATTATTCAACCTTTCATCTAAATAAGCTAGGAAAAAGACCCTATTAAAACCAAAGTAGAAGAAAGGAAATAATAAAAATTAAATCAGACCAATTAAATAGAAAACTAATAATAATTAAATAGAGTCAAAAAGTGGTTCTTTGAAAACGTTGATAAAATTGACTGACCCATGAAAAAGACAGAAAATACAAGTTGTCAATAGCAGTAAAAAAAAAGAGGAAATATATATTGGCAGTAAACAGTATTATTTCTGTGTACAGATCTTTTATATTTTGTGTTAGATTTATTGGTAGCTATTTGATTTTTTCCATGCTATTATAGACAGTAGTATGATTTATAATAAAATGTAATAAAATACTCTTTATAATAAAATAAAAAATCAAATATCTATTAATAAATCTAACAAGAATATAAAAGATCTCTACACTGAAAATAATACCTTGCTGAGAAAAAATAAAGACCTAAATAAATAGATATTTTCTATATGTAACATAGAAAATTTCTTATTGTTAATACATATTTTCTGCTCTAACCAATTCAACACAATCCCAATCAAAATCTCTGTATACTTTTTAAAAGAAATTTTGAAGGTGATTATAAAATTTATATGAAGTACAAAGGATCTAGACTAGTCTGATTGATCTTAAAACGCAAGAATAAAGTTGGGGACTTTTATTACTCAATTTCAAGACTTAATAAAAAGGTACTGTGATCACGACAGTTTAATACTGGCTTAAGAACAAAGGTTAATATTGGCATAAGAACAAATAGTTCCAAATACAAAGGTACTGTGATCATGACAGTTTAATATGGGCATAAGAACAAATAGTCCTCCAGCTACGGGACAAATATTTGAAAAATATTAAACTTTGATTTCTATCACAATCACATTCAATACAAATGTTTGTTTATTAAGATGAATCATAGACCTAATCATAAAGGCTGGAATGATTAAGCTTTTATGAAAAATGAAAAAAAAATATTTTTGTAACCTTAAGTTTGTGAGTTAAAATGTATCTCCAAAAAGGACATGTTCAAGTACTAACCCCAAATATTTATAAATATTACCTTAGACGGAAATAGAGTCTTTTCAGATATAATTAGTTAAGTTAAAATGAGGTCATACTAGAGTACGGCAGGCCCTAATCCAATGTGACTGGGATCCTTATAAGATGGAGAGAACAGACACAGACACACACAGGAGAGAATGTCACATGAAGACAGAGGCAGAAATTACAGTGGAATGACAGTGATTCCCAATAACCAGCGATGTTACGAGAAGGCCGTGAAATGGATTCTCCCTCAGAACTTCCAAAATAAACTAACCCTGACAGCTCCTGGATTTCAGACCTGTAGCCTGCAGAACTATGAGAGAATAGTTTTGTTTTGGTAAGCCAGCCAGTTTATAGTGCTTTGTTACAGCACGTCTATAAAACTAATATACTTGGGCAAAAATTTCTTAAACAGGATATGAAAAGCACCAAAGGAAAAAATATATATTTGATAAATATGCACTTCATAAGAAGTTTTTGTTCATCAAAAGATACCATGTAGAAAATAAATAGGCAAGGCATAAACAGCAACACATATGACTAGCAAAAGATGTGTATCCAGAATACACAAAGAAGAACTCCCCTAAATCTAAAATTTTTTAAATCAGCAAATACTTGACCAGATATTGTATATTAAGATGAATCACAGACCTAATCATAAGAGCCGAAACTATCAAGCTTTTGCAAAAAAAAAAAATGGAAAAATGCATTTGTACAAAAATGCATCTTCTTCATAAAGGAGATATTAGTAAAAATGAGTATATGAAAAGTTGTCCACCATCATTATTCATCAGGTAAATGCAAATTAAAACCACAGTGATCTATATTTCAGCCCCACTGTGATGGGTGAAATCAAATATTGGTGAGGATGGAGAGCACCTGCGCTTCTCATATATTGCTGCTGGAACTGTAAAATAGTAGAACTGCTTTAGATAATTATTTCGTAGTGGATTATAAAAGCAAACACCTCTATGAGACAGCAATTTCTTTCTAAGAAAAAACATTTATTCAGAAAGAAAATGTGCATATTCATAGAAGCTTAATTCATTGTGGCCAAAAACTGGAAACAATCTGTATCAGTTTTCTAGGACAGACATAACAGATCCCAGACAGACTGAGATCCATAAACAGAAATTTGTTTCCTCACAATTTTGAAAACTACAAGTCCCAGATCAAGATGTGAACAGAGCTGGTTTCTTCCGAAGCCCTTTCTCCTTGAATTGCAGATGGCTATCTTTTCCCTGTATGTTTACATGGTATTCCCCTGGTGTGTGCATGCAACGGTCAGTATTACATTAGGGCCTACCCTAATGACTTTATTTTAATGACATTATCTCTTTAAAGACCTTATCTCCAAATACTGTCCCATTCTAAGGTACTGGAAGTTAGGACTTAAACATAAGAATTTTCTGGGGACATTATTTAGCCCATAACACAACCCAAGCGACCACTAATTTTGGAATGGGCAAACAGTCATCGTGATGGTTAAATTTTATGTGACAAGTTGACTAGACTACTGTGCCCAGGTGTTTAGTCAGACACCAGGCTAGATGTTGCCATGAAAGTATTTTATAGATATGGTTAACATATATAATTAGTTGACTTTGAGTAAAGGAGGCAACCTTCTCTAATGTGTATCACCTTCAGCCAATCGTTAAATAGCTTAGAAGCAAAGGTTGAGATGTCCTGGAGAAAAAGGAATTCTGTCTCAAGACTGTAACATAGAAATCCTGCCTGAGTTTCCAGCTTAGTAGTCTGCCCTGCATATTGCAGACTGAAGACGGGAACATCAACTGTTACTTGAGTTTCCAATCTGCTGACCTACCCTATGGATTTATATTTTCCAAGCCCCCACAACTGACCGAGCCAGTTTCTTAAATTAAATCTTATTAGCTCTATTTCTCTGGAGAATTCTACATGTTGTAGTCATGCATAGAAAACTACTGTGATAAAAAGGACCAAAATATTCATACATACATGCAACATGGATAATGGTCAGAAATGCTATACTGCGTGAAAAGAAAAGCCAGACAAAAAAGGATGCATACTCCATCATCCCATTTATATGAAATCCGAGAAGAGGCAAAACTCATCTATGGTGATAGAAATAAGAAAATTGCTGTCTGGGGTAGATGAATGAGGATAGATATTGACTGAAAACAGACAGAAGGGCACATCCTGGAGTGATGGAATTGTGCTATATCTTGTTTTCAGTGGTGTTTTCATGGGTATGTACCTTTGTCAAAATTCAAAGACCTAAATAGTCAGGAACTGTGGATTTCATTCTGTGTAAATTGTATCTTTAAAAAACAATATAAAAAATTACATATTACCTTAAATTTCAATTATGTATATATAGAATTATTTCAAATAGATTTCAAATATAAATTTTTCAAATGTTAAATTTTTTATTCATTGTGGATGTAGCTGCAATGAATAAAACATATGTAGATGTTTAGGAGTGACTCTAAGCTTCTAACCATTGTCTGTATTCCTTTTCCTGGCCATCTTTCAGAGACTTGTTTAACCATTAGGGGGACCCCTCAGGTCACGCAGACAGTGTGCGACTACTCTTACTAGACATCCACCTTCAGGTTGGTGATCAGTTCATCCCAATCAGGTTCAATGTAAGTCAGTCAATATTTACAACAAGCAGGAATCTTTAACTGGAGTGAAAGTTATAATTAACGTCTTCATTTTTTTGATACAGCTTACAGTTAAAATGTAACACATTGATTATCTTCATATGTACCATGTGTTGTTAACTACTTAGCTCACTTAAATATCCATTTCCCAGCTGTACTACAAATTCCTCACAGGTTAAGATCATGTTTTAATATTTTTCTGTGTCTCCCAAAAAACTTAAGACAGCCTGGAGATATATATATATATGGCAATTGGACTGATGAATAAATTAGGTGTGTTGTTTTGGCTTTGCCTAGGAAAAACTAGTTAACTCACTTCAGGCTCCCTTTCCCTACCACCCCCACAGTCCCCCCAACCCTCCACTGAGTTATCCTATTCTATACCATTGAATAAAACCATTGAGTAAATCCATACGTTTTATTTCAGCTCTCTGGAAGCATTTGATTCATTGTGAAATTTTTTCTCAAAATTACTATAAAATACAATTTTAAAACGGAATATATGGAGCAAGAGGAAGATGGAGATGGTGGAGGAGGAGGAAGAAGAAAATGAAGAAAGCAAAGGAGGAGAAGGAAGAGATGATGAGGATGAAGAAGAAATGTAGAAATTGCAAGTATACAAAATCAGGAATCTTTTAAAAGACTGGTTTTATCCTCTAAATTCTTAGCCATAAATGCTTATCTCTCTGAATGACTTAAAAATCAATATAAAGTTTGATTCTATGGTTTATTGATTCTGTATTTCAATTATCCCTAATTAAAATGTCTGCTTTGATTTGAATTTCTAAACAAGGGGAAAAAATTACAGGAATTTCTTTTAAATGTACTATTTCATCCTCAATCCAGTGGATGCCATTCCACTATATTTAGTGAATTCCAGTAATATAAATATATCTGATATTCTTGCATATAGATACATATATATTCTTATGCATGAAATTGAGTGGTACTTATTTTCCAAGGATTTAGTAGGAGAGGAATATATAAGTGAGTGTCTCTTTCTCCCTAGGATCACAACTAAAATAAAAAGTATATTAAAGATATTATGACTCTCTATGATTGGTTCAACACATATTTATTGAGCCGTTACTATGCACCTAATACTCTCTTAGTACATGAATGTTACCTATCCATAAATGAGTGAATAATACTTGTAAAGAAGTATGGCATAGAAGACTAAAACAGAGAACAATGTGAGATGGAAAATAATCAGGTGCCTTAAATATAATATGGACAATAAGGGCTATTGAAAGTCTAAAGGATAGAATAATTGAAGAGTGTTCTGATCCTTCTCTTTATCATCTACACAACACAACTAATAACCTCCTATGAATGTTTTAAATATCAAATGAAATAATAATATATATATAAGAAGAGTTAAGTACCCAATGTATACATAAGAAATTGGCAGGGCGCGGTGGCTCACGCCTCTAATCCCAGCGCTTTGGGAGGCCAAGGCGGGTGGATCATGAGGTCAGGAGATTGAGACCATCCTCGCTAACACGGTGAAACCCCATCTCTACTAAAAATACAAACAATTAGCGAGGCGTGGCGGCCGGCGCCTGCAGTCCCACCTACTGGGAGGCTGAGGCAGGAGAATGGCGTGAACCCGGGAGGCGGAGCTTGCAGTGAGCGGAGATCGCGCCACTGCGCTCCAGCCTGGGCGACAGAGCGAGACTCGTCAAAAAAAAAAAAAAAAAAAAAAAAGAATTAAAACGGACCAGGGGAAACAGGCTGACAGAAGAAAAAAAAAAAAAAAAACCCTCTAAATTCACATACAAAGAGACACTGCAACCGTGATGAGTACCCACAACATTTCTAGTCCTGTGCTTAACAATGTTAACAGAAAAACTTCAGCCGAATTAAATTTAAAGGAGTTTAATTGAACAATGAACGATTCGTGAATCAGGCAGCTCCCGGATTCACGGCAGATTCAGAAGGACTCCAGGTATGCCTCGTGGTCAGAACAAATTTATAGACCAAAAAAAAAAAAGTGACGTACAGAAATCAGAGGTGAGGTACAGAACAGCTGGCGTGATTACAGGTTGGCATTTACCTTATTTGAACACAGCTTGAACACTCAGCAGTGAATGACTGGTTGTAGCGTGGCTGCTGGGACTGGCCAAGACTCAACCACTGTTACAGGCCCATACTGCTAAATTAGGGTTTCAATCTTGTCTACCCACTAAATTAGGCTGCAGTGGTCCACAACGACTCAAATGTAGAAGTATGGAGTCCTTCTCAGGCCATATTTAGTTTGTTTTAACAATTATGAAAGAATTTTTATAAAGTATTACATAACATCAAGTATTTGTTGCTAGGAGACATAGGTGATAGGAGATAAGGTCACAGAGGCAAAGAGGGCAAAGGTGCACAGCTTCTTATAGTGATGTTGTCTTCACTCTGAGGTAAGAATTTTTATAAAGTATTACATTCATTAAGTATTTGATTGCCTTATCTTTCATACCAGTAAAAATGTGTTCATAAACACATACCATAAGGTGACAGGCAATAAATAAAAAATATGTAGTGGGGTACATATTGATAAATACTAAGGACAAGCACGAGCAGGGGAAAGAGATAGAAATTATGGGTTGGTGGGGGAAATTGTAATTTCAATGTAGATGACCAGAGAAAGCCCCACTGAAAAGATCGCATTTGAGCAAAGACCTGAGAGATGAGGTGAGGAACAATGACATGTAACTCTTTGGAGGAACAGCATTTCAGGTAGAAGAGCATCAGTAGTAGTTCTGACAGGGGTGATGCCTGTTGTGTTTGAGAAACAGCCAGGCGAGCGAGCAGTGTGCCTGGAGGCAAGAGTAAGAGGAGGATGATAGGAGACAAAGTCACAGAGGCAAGGAGGGTGAAGCTGCACAGCTTCTTATAATGACATTGTCTTCATTCTTACTAAGGTAAGAAGCCATTAGAAGGTCGTGACCAGAGAAACAAAATTATTTTTTATAGTGGGAGATTATTCTGTCCGGTGTCACTGGTGAAATGGAGAGAATAGTTATAAAGTTATCATTGCACTTAGGTGAAGAGATGATAGGGGCTTGGACCCGGATGGTTGCAGTGAATGTTGTAAGAAGTGTTTGGATCCTCAACTCTACTGTCAAATTGTTTACAGCCCAGTTAGGAGAAAAAGTCTGGGTAACTTTAAAAATATTTTTTTTTAAAAAAGAGAGAAATAAATCATTAGAAGCTAAATGGTATGTGTACAATTACAAATTTAAGAGGGATTTGGGAAAAGCAAATTGAGCAATGTGACACAAATGTGACTGATTAATAGTGTTTTAATAAAAATAATAATTGCTGACATTCATTGTGTTCATTATATGCCAGGTGCCAGGCATAGTGCTTTACATGTGATATCTCAATTAATCTCCACCAAAAACTTATGATAAGTTGCTGCTACTGTCCCATTTCCTATAGGAGGAAACCAAAGAAAGAATATCTGGAAAAGTTAATAAGTTGTTCAAAGGACATAGCTGTAATTTCATCACGATTTGGCTTTTATGAGCGCCCAAGCTCAACAGTGACACTCTATTCTGATTTGCCATATAGGTGGAAGGGGAAAGAAGACATTCTAAATGGGTGAATCCATGTGAGTGAAGGTTAGAAATTCATATGTTTTGTGTGTACATGAGAATGGCAGATCTGGAGCAGAAGGTTCATATTGGGGAACAGTAAAATAAACAGTGGAGACTGAAAAGTATAAACAGATTTTAGAAGTCCTCCAGAGCTAGCCATAAAAGTTTTAATTGTATCCAGGAGAGCCTGGGAATCTAAGATGAACGTAGGAGGAGAAACATTATTATTATTATTATTTTGAGACGGAGTCTTGCTCTGTTGCCCAGGCCAGAGTGCAATGGCATGATTTAGGTTCACTGCAACCTCCACCTCCCAGGTTCAAGCAATTCTCCTGCCTCAGCCTCCCGAGTAGCTGGGATTACAGGCATGTGCCACCACACCTGGCTAATTTTTCTGTATTTTTGGTAGAGACAGGGTTTCACCATATTGGTCAGAGCTGGTCTCAAATTCCTGACCTTGTGATCCACCTGCCTCAGCCTCCCAAAGTGCTGGGATTACAGGTGTGAGCCACTGCACTTGGCCAAGAAAAATTAATTTAAGGTTATTCTGGCTCTCAGGTACAAGATGGCTTGGGGGCAGTAGAGATCTGGCAAGTAAAACAGCCAGAAACAAACATGATCATTTATATATGAGGTAATAACAACTAGTAAAAGTAAGGATTGAAAGGTAAATGTCAGAGTATTTCCCAGATTTTTTTTTCAAAATCCAGGACAGAATTTGGTTCTGAGTTGTTTATTAAAAATATTGAAATACAATCCATGCCATGTCCACAGTTAGTTGTGTGAATTTGGGCAGGTTATTTATCTGAGAAGTTTCTTCATCCATAAATAAAGTTGTATTCGACTACATTTAATGTTTTCTTCTTTCTTTTATATTGTGATTAAGATTTGTTTGCTGATTTGTTTTAAAGCTACAGTTTAGAACAATATAAGAGCTTGTAGCATCTATTTGTTTCAAGGCATTAATATTAAATTTCATTGACAGTGTGTGGTGCTGTGTTTGGAACAAAGAAGATGCGCAGAAATACTCCCTAAGTTGAACTGAATTTAATTGAAACTTAAAAATTATCAAAGAAAAAGAATAAATTCTAGCCTCATCCCTTGTAGCTATTAAAGACTGAATACCAAAAAATAAATTTTTTAGAATTGATTTAGATTCTTCCATTGTCCTGCTGAAGTTCTTGGGCAGTGATATTCCAAGTGTGGTTCCTGGACCATTCTATAGGTTACTAAATAATTTATATATAATTGTGTGTGTGCACATGTGTAAAATCACCTCAGGCATTTTTCCACACTGGAAGTCAGCTCACAGCCTTAGGTAGCAAAACTATGCCTGGGATAACTGTATTATTCCAGAACTTTTTAAATATTCCCAGATACTCTTTATGAATGTCTCCAAAAAGCGAAAGACAGAAGCAGCCTAACTGAGAAGGCCTTGATCCTTGTTTCTAAGAAAACTATTATACGAAGTGAAACAATATAAACAAGATTTATTTGTTTGCTTGCCTAATCTTTTAACCCAGAGAAATGATCATCTATAATGGCTTTGCTTTTCAGCTCTTTCTGCCTCCTGCTGTTCAGAGTAATGACATGGAGAAAGCTCCAGCCTGAGGAACTGACAGTTATTAGTTCAAAATCCAATTCTGCTGTGCAATCTCAGACATGTTTCATAAACTTTCCATGCCTCACTTTCCTTATCTCGTTTCTCAGATTTCTTACCTGATAAATAAATAAGACACTATAATAATAGCATAGTATTTGGCACAAATGAAGTACTCAACAGATTTGTGTTCCCTTCTTCCATCTCTAATTTGTCAATATTATTTCTGAACCTCTTTCTTAAACCCTAGAACTAACATAGGAAATAACTTCTCCTCCACCCCATTCATGGTGTTGTACATGGAGGAAATACACATTTGGGGAAGTGCACAGCTCAAGTGACTCTAATCCTGGATTTCCAGCTACTCCCACCCCAGAACCACCTACAGGGAAAAGGAAGAGAAACCACTTCCCACAGCTGGGGCTTTCCTCATTTCCGAAGCTACAGAAGACTGATCATGGTACTCAGAGGAAACACCGCCAGCCTGGAGGTCATTTGCCACAAAGAGGGAGTTCAAAGCCCCTTAGTCCTATCAGGG